GCGTTCCATCAGGACAACGCTAGATCGCACACGTTTTTGGTGACGCGAAAGAAGCTCCTCGCAGAAGTTCTCTCTTTCTTTCCTACACTCTTTTCTGACCTGACGAGGAGGGGATCTCACTTGTATGATATAGATAAGACTGTAAATTTTTCTATAGTTGTTTTCTCTTAGGCCACATTTTCTTCCTTACTCGAATATGCATTGTTGCACTGCCTTCTTTGTGTTTTCAATATACTCATTCTGCAGTGAGAAGGTAGCTTAGTATGTAAAAATTCTTATTAAATACTTGTATTTCGAAATGACACTAGTTAGTTATTTGTACAGCGCCACAGCTGAATTACATTCTCTGCCACGCTCTGTTGAAGTACGTAAAGTGATTTTGCTCTCGACAACACTATAGTCGAGTGCTTAGGGTGTCATCTCTTTTTTTTATTCTCGTTTTTATTTCTGGTGGACTATTAATTCAATATAACATAATGAACTGGTATAAATATAGTATAAAGCTGATGTATAATTGGAAGGTTGACAGTAATTGGGACACCTACATGTAGCATATCAGTTGTTTATACGGGAAATGGTTGGAAGATTACTAGTCAGTGGAAAAATTGAAATTAGTGAGATTCTAGTTGTCAACTAGTATTTTCCCCTGCAGGTTAGCTGAAGATTATAGTTAATTATAGTATATAATATTATTACTAAGACATGCATTCTGAAGTTGTTTTTGTTGCGAATTCTTTTTTCTTTATTTTTAATCATTCCACAATTCTTCTAAATAAGCCGTAATTAAAACAAACTGTCTTGGTTCGAAAAGAGACAATTTTATTCAGGGTACATGAATGCATCAAAGTTTTCTGCCTGCCACCGGCGCACTTCCATCCGAAACCGATTTCACTGAAGTAGACTCATTTCAACTTTCGAGTATTGAAGTTTATTAAAATTGAAATTTTATTTAAAAACTTTCCTACTTTCATACGCCAAAAAGTATAAATAGAAGAAGCTGAAACAGTCAACATTGTCACATGCCGATCTTTGCGACCTCTGAGCAACGCACCATCGCCACCAACAACAAGAATTGAAGGAAATATATTTCTTTTTATTTGCTTTTAAGACTCTTCGCCCGCGTTTTTCTCTCGCTGGCAGTCAAACAAAGGATGCCATTAGCATTTTAGCCATTCTCGCCTCATACCAACTTGTTGATATGAGTGAATTACTTCACTTGCAACATTTTTTTTTTTTTTTGATTTTACATTTTTTTGAAGTATTCTTTTGCGTTGGCTCCCTCCACCGTTTCTACAGCAGCACATAAATTGACACCAAATACGCAAATGGCAACATTATTTAAAAATCTCAACGATACAAAAGTGAAGCAGAGAAAAATTTGTTAAAACCAATTTCGAAGTCGTTTAGTCGTGACGACGTCGGCAAAACGGCTCTGGAGCGCCGCAGTCCGGCTGAGGTCGCCGTCCATCGGGCTCTGGCTGCACTGGCGCCTTGGGGTGGTGGCGAGTACTTCAGCACTTTTAAACTTGTTTTGCAATTATTCTTTTATTTCGCCGTGGAGAGAAAGAAAAAAAGTAGTTACACTTCTTTGAGCATGTCCTCGGTTGGTAGGTGTAAGGATGTTGGTGTGTGTGTGGTGTGTATATATGTGAGCGTTTGAACAGTCTCCTTCTAACTTCCCACAAATTGCTTATGAAAAAGTTCAGTTGGTCATGCTGAAAGTGGCAGCTTTGGCTGTCAGCTCTATCGCTATCACAGTTGTTCACTCCCCAATGCTCTTCCACTACATACTCGTATATGCTTCTATTTCGCTTTTCTTTTTTTGTAATTTTCTTTATTTTTTGGAGTTTTCCTTGTCGCTGTGGTATTTTGGCAGCGTTAAAATTTATTACTTCGCTGCCCACAATGAAATGCTACAAATTTGTATTACTTAAAAATGCGCGCTGGCGACATCTAATTCTCTTTGTGTGCATGTATGTAATCAGATTGTGTGCTTTATGCTTTCTGAACTTATTTCTCTATCACTTCTCACATTGCTTCGTAAAAGTTTTGCTCAACTTTAATTCGAAAGTTTCGAAAATGTTAAGAAATTATAAATTAAAGCGACTGGTTTTTAAACAGCTCCTCGGTAATAAAAGAGGTTAGGAATTTAAATAAGAATAGCTAAAAAAAGTATTTTAGTCCTCTGAGGTCTCTAATCGAGTTTTACAGATTAACTCTATTACTAAATTTTACATTTTACATTTCTCTATTTCCAATTTCGATTGCAAGGGAAATGCAAACTTCCAACTTGGATTAAAACAAAGCGGGTAGATGTCCATTTATAGCCGGAACTTAGGCATTAAGAATTTGGGAATTGTGTTGCCCAGCAAGTTACCGCTGAACCTTTGTAAAAGAAGTGGTGAAGAATTCTTCTGTTGTCCTACGTAAATTTTAAGGAGTATTGGATTGTAACTATGGTCTTCCATTTGCCCCCTCGCACTGGGTATTCATTTTGATCGTCCCTTTGCTACAGTAGTCTTGGAGAGTGTCTTTATGCTTTAATTGAAGTTTTGCTGGCGCTCTAAAGAACACCACATGCTTCGTTTTATATACCTTTGAGTGTACCACCAACGAACCTAGTACTTAAACTTGCTGAAAATCAAGACACGCAGAAAGATATCGTCTTTTTAAGAATACGAATTACTATATCGAAAGCTTCTGATATCTACAAAAGGTTCGGAGGATGGTACCAAAATGAACGATGCTGTAGAGACTGCAGCTTACTTTACCCAAACAGACTTTAGATCCTTAAGATCCCTAAGAAAAGTTCACAATCGCAGAATATCAGCTCATTTAGACATCGAAAGTAACGAGATGATGATGAATTGGGCGAGGAGTGAAATACTCCATGAGCTTAAAGCAGAAGTGGGAAAATGGAAAAACGACTACTTCGGTTTGTATATATTAAACGAATGAATGTATTACCGGACTATAGGCATAATTTTTTAAATCAAGATATTGCTTTCACAAAAACTGTTTCCGATTTAGATGACAAGCCGCACCTAATCTCAATTGACAGATAAAGTTCAAGTGGCTATGGGAATATCAAGATAAACTGTAAGGTGGACATATTTACTTCGCAAAGCAATACCAATTAAAAAGCAGAGTTAATAGCTTATTTTCTATGTAACAACGAAGCTTTGGGTAATGAATATTGCGATTAATTTCTTTGCTGCCGGCAAAGATCACGATACTTAGTATCATTGAACAGAAGCAATTCGTGAATCAAATTTACTAGATTAACAGTATAGCCTAGTGGCTTAAGCAACGAGATATCACAATAGATAAAGTACTGGCCGAAGTGCATGGGTATTCTAGAGTATTTAGACAAAAATCAATACATTCACATATGTACTCAAACCTCAAACACTCAAAAAAAATTACAACTTTTAGTTGTGGTATTTAACTCAAATACAAGTAAATCTGTAATCTCCGTGTTATTATTATTACTGTTTATAGCAATGAAAACTGATAAAAAGTAGTTCTTATACCAATATATTTTTGCAACGAATATTAAAAATTATCGCTGTGCAAAGCCAAAAAAAAAATCTTGACTCCAGAGCATGTTCTACAACTTTATCAATTTTATTTTCGATCCCTGCACACCTCACAAACCCGAAAATTCTAAGAAATTTTAGTACATCTCATGTACCCAAAATTTAATTACTATTTGTATAATGTTGAAAAAAATTTCAATGAAATACTAACGGATGGAAGTATTTACATAAATATGTGTATTATATTGTTTATGCAAATGATCCGAAAAATTTCTAATGTCCTCACATCAAACAAACTTTCAACTCGAACCAGCTTCTCTATAGCCTGACTATCCATCCCATTTGTATATGATATAGAACGAGGAAGATATGCATGTCACTTCCTGCAGCCTTTCCACCCGAAATGACGTTAAAACGCAGCTATCTTTAGGTAATGTAGAGCTTCGAATATAAAAACTCTCCCTACACTTGTTCATTTAGACTACAATCCGAACATATAAATAGTCACTACTAAGCTTTCGGTCCATCGACAGCCAATTTCAATCACCCCGAGTGAATTTTCGAGATTAAATGAGCCGTTTGGAATGAAGTGTGTATAAATTGGTAGGTGCATATATATGGGTCCATATAATCCAGCAAACTAAACATTTTTTTGCTTATATGCATTTTCGGAAGCACTCACCATCACTCCTTTCTATGGTATGTAATTTGTATTGCTTCTTAAGAGCTTCTCAAATCCAGTTGAAAACTCAGATGACAAATGTCTGCTCAATCTTCTAGAACCACCAGAATCAGAAAGATTCCGTTCAATGACCGTAATGCAGTCGATTTTAGAGTGAGTGATTAATATTAAAGACAGAAGAGTAAAACCCTTCTAATTCTAACTTAACTTTACAGAACTAAGTCTACCTGATTTTAATCTTGAATAAAAAAAACTGGCAGCGGAAACACCCGAGTGGTTATCATTACATACTGCCATTTTGAAGACCTGGTTTCACCAACATCAAGTTCTTAGGAAATTCCTTTTTCTAATTGCACTCGAAATGGGAATCTCAAGCTCCTCCAGTGTGTTGCTGACTTAATAAAAGCCCCTCATAAAAATCCGTCGACCGTTCAGAGGTGGCTTAGCAGAAACTGTAGATCCTTTCATTTGCTGGAAAAGCATCAAGAAAGAGGAAAGAGGAGCTCGGCTAAGAATCAGCTATAAAACGTCAAAGTTTGTAAATAAGGAATCACACCCTTGAGAGTATTTTTAATTCTGTCATCGCGACGCTGATTTTTTATCATGCTCATGAATAATCTTTTGCAAAAAGTATACTTTCAGACGTTTAAGGAGATGGAAATGTGTTTGCACAAAAAAAAAAAAAAAAAAAATACAACCACATTAGCTATTCTCATATAGATACACATAATTGCCTGTTGCTGCGAGCAGAACGGGATGAATGACACATTCTCACTCACATGCTGTTTCTTCGCGACTATTTTTCCAGGCGACTGCTCAGCAGTGGCTTTCATTCTATGAGCTTTTCCAGTCGTTTGAAGCTAAAATGTGAAAATACACATTTATATTATTTCGAAAATATTATTCTCCGCGCCCTCAACTTACTTTATACTTATAAACTGCGAAACATCTTTCTCTCTCTCTCACCCCAATCATAACTTTTTAGGGTAGCCTCCACCAGTACGTCATCATCAGTGGCACACATACTGTTATCAGCGATATCATTTGCATTAGAGAGGAGTTTCCACTACTACCGGTAGCTGCTTCTTCATCTGTGTTCATAATAAACTAAAATAAGTGTATCTTTACCTCTCGCACTCTCTCTTTCTCTCTAAGCATTTCTTCATCTCGCTATCGGACTCAACGCTGCTGTCTTGAGAATTATGCAAAGCAGCCAGTTGGGATTGTTATGCAAATTGCAGGCAATTACCTTGGCAAAAGACATGAAAGTTGTTATTCGTAGTCTTTGTTGTTGTTGCTGTGCTGTTGTGGTTGTTAGCTTCGCAAAGGTATCGAATCATAATTTCAACGCAACAAAAAATTCACAAACCCACACGCGTCGGAAAACAGATATGTATAGCAGCCAATATACTAAGAAAAAATGACAACAACAACAACAGTGAAATATGTGTGTTGTTCCTCACGTCATCTTATGTTATGCGAACATGAAAGTGCTTTTTGCCATTGCACGGCGAGACGCGTTTCTTTTTCTGCACCCACATCCACACAAATACACCCATCATATAAGTAGCTTTATTTTTGTCTTTATTGCTTTTGTTGTTGTCGCGTGGGAAATATCTTAAAAGCCTTTGGCTGTCGAAGCTGCTATATCGACGCTATTCTGCGGCTGCTGTGGTGGTTTTTGATGTCGGTGGGTGCTCTTTAAAATATATTTCAGTTCAACAAAAAATTTATGCAAAAATATGGTATTTTTTGTATTTACTTTCATGTAGGGAAACTGTTTTTGAATTGTGGAAATGGAATAGAAACTCTCGCTAAATGGAAGTTATTAAATATATTTCAAATTTTAAAGTTCTTATAAAGTTAAGAAAATTATTTTTATATAGCGAACGAAATCCAATGTATAATTTTTCAAGTGAATAATCTTACAGATGTTGATTAGATTTTACCCTATTTATTTATCTTTACTTCGTCTAATTTATTTTATTTT